ATTCAGGTCCTGGGAGAGATCCAGGAGATCGTAAAGACTGGACTTTGGGTTGGAGACTGCTTCATCTACACCAGTTCTGTTAACAGACTCAACTACTATGTGGGAGGCGAGATTGTCACTATTGCACACCTGGACAGGTGGGAATCGAGTTTTACATTGATAATATATGCCGTTTAAATACAAAGATATCTAGCTTAACCATAATGGGAAATCAATCCAAGGAAAACCTAAACTCTGCGTACTGCAGACTTAATCACTCCTGCTTACTCTTCCTTCAGAACCATGTACCTTCTGGGTTACATTCCAAAGGATGACCGCCTCTACCTTGGTGACAAGGAGCTCAACATTGTCAGCTATTCGCTGTTGGTTTCTGTCCTGGAGTATCAGACTGCTGTGATGAGAAGGGACTTTGGGATGGCAGACAAGGTGCTGCCTACCATCCCCAAAGAGCAAAGGACCAGGGTTGCACATTTCCTGGAGAAACAGGTGAAGCAGGATATTTAGGCCTTATTTTCATTTTTATTGTATGCTGTAGAGAACCACTTATTATTTTTTCTGTGAAGAGATTTAGGATTTCACAAGAAACTATAGTTGTAATCAGGGCTGAGACAATTAATCAGATTAGTCGTAATTAATCTGTTATTGAATTAATCGTTAACTGGAGTTTAGAGTAAATGCTTTAATCTGATAGAAATAGAATAATTATACCAAAATTGTAAAAAAAATATATATTCTTATTTTGCCTTTAAGACTTAAGTTTTTTTGTCTTTCAATATGGTCTATCCAGAGCGCCTCAAGTGCAAAAGTTTTAGTTTCAGATGGTTTAATTCTGTAAAAAAGTCTTCTTTAAGGAACCTTTTAATATCCGATGATTAATCTGAAAAATAATTGAGAGAATAATTTAATATAAAAACAATAGTCATTTGCAGCCCTAGTTGTAAGTAATCAGAACAGACTTAATCAGTCCAGAGAGGAAAAAAAACAGTCATTAGATGGCCTTAAAACACTCTTTTATATATCTGATGGATAACTTTTGTTATGTAGCCATAGAAAAACTTCCACTGCCTTTATTTTAGGTGTATTTATACATTAATGTTTTCTTTTCCCCCTGTTTTCTCCATTTTAAAGCCAGCTTTGTCTTTCTATGTGTTAACGTGTTTTGTTTGTGTGTCTTCTTTAGGGCTTCAAACAGCAGGCGTTGGCCGTATCTACAGACCCAGAGCACAGGTTCGAGTTGGCCTTGCAACTGGGGGAGCTGAAGATTGCCTATCAGCTGGCTGTGGAAGCGGAAGTAGGGCTGTTTCTTCATCTTCTATCAATACTAACTAACTTGCATCTATTCCTCTGATTTTAATTGATGTCCTGAAAGCTATTGCTTATAGTTGTCTCTCTAACCTTTGTAGTCGGAGCAGAAATGGAAGCAGTTGGCAGAGCTGGCCATCAGTAAATGCCAATTCAGCTTAGCCCAGGAGTGCCTGCACCATGCTCAGGATTATGGCGGCCTGCTACTGCTTGCAACAGCGTCAGGTAACGCCACCATGGTGGGCAAGCTGGCCGAAGGGGCGGAAAGGGATGGCAAGAACAACGTGGCCTTCATGACATATTTCCTGCAGGGGAAGTAAGTCTTAGATCTGTGAGATGATAAATACCCATTTATTTCAATAAATCAGAATTTTCAGTGATGTTTTTTGTTTGTGATTTACTTTTACACACAGGAATACAGCATACCTTTATAAAAGATTGCAGGCTTTTAAAAACCTTTTTTCCCTAATTATTATCATCTCTATTTATTCAGCTTGGATCAATGTTTGGAACTCCTAATCAAGACTAACAGACTACCAGAGGCTGCGTTCTTGGCTCGGACATACCTCCCTAGTCAAGTGTCCCGTGTGGTCAAACTATGGAGGGAAAGTTTGGCTAAAGTCAACCAGAAGGTCAGATCAAGCACCAGTGTGTTTAAAAAAAAAAAATTTTTGTGCAATTATGGTGACACTTTTAAATATTTGAATATTTTTGTCTCCGCTGCAGGCAGCCGAATCACTTGCCGACCCCACAGAGTACGAGAACCTGTTTCCTGGGCTGAGAGAAGCTTTTGCAGCTGAGCATTACCTGAGAGAGACGTGCATCGGCAGCTCCCGACCTGCTAAAGACTATCCACTCGTTACAGTAAGTCGACTGTCTGGTGAAATATTCACAAAACCTAAATGTTTTTGCTCTGCAGGGGTACTCTTGACTTAAACATTGATCAAATGTATGTAGAACGACTACCGGTACTGTAAAAGTTAAAAGTGTATATTTCCCTATATTTCTAGCCCAATGAGGACCGAAATATTCTGGAGGAGGCACAGGGATATGAGCCTAAAGGCACCTTCGTTCCCTTTTCACCCCAGGTTTGTTAAAAAATACTTTTTAAACTTTGTCTGCAAAACTATGATCCTCCAGTTAGGCAGCAGAAAGTCAGGAGCTTAGTAAGTCACTTATCTCTGATCATTTATCATGCTTTCTTTGACAGACGAAAGATAGTGATGAAACCAGCTCAGTGCCAGCGGCCTTTGAGACGCCTTCACAGCCTGAACCTGCAGCTCCTGAGGCAGCGGTGAAGAAGGAGGAGGTGGTGGAGGAAAAACTTACATTCTCTCAGTCAGAGAAGGAGAAGGTTGGCCTTTCTTTACTTAGGTTAAAATTGGATAATCACAAAAATGGATGAATTAAATAATGTTACCAGGACATTTAAGTGAAGAGAATTTAATCTGTGTCTACAGACTCTGGATGAGTTGGAAGTGGACCTGGACAACATGGAGCTGGATGACATCGACACCTCAGACGTTAACCTTGATGATGACTTCCTAGATGATTGAAGCTGCCACCATCCTTCTCAACGATATTCATGAAATATTTAAACAAGAGACCAACATCCCTTTTCTTTTTTCTTTTTTTTGTTACTTGTATGAAAAAATGTTATGTTATCATGTTAGTTTTATTAAAAACTGATGACATCAGTAACATTTGAATAAGAACTAAAGCAGAGGGCCGACAGCTACTCCATTTTTGTACACTCTATAAATGAAAGTTAGATAAATGATCTAATGGATAATTTCATTTTTGCTTTCCTTCTGTGCTTTTCTGTTATGTCATGTCGATGTTCATTAAGTCCAATAAATTCTGGTTGCTGTATATACTAACATTTGCCTAAGGATTCTTGATTTAAAACGATACAAAAGTGTTATTAGAAATACATTTTTTTTTTATTTCTTTAAATCATATTTCCCTGTTGTTTGAACACCTGCAACTGATAACAATTTGTTAGTAAACTAAACGTTTAGAAAAGAGTTGGAAATTATTAGACCTGTACTGTTTCCACTCTGCTGATTCAAGCAGGGCGATCCAAAGCTATGCATTGCCACTTGGTGAGAAGTCTCAACCAAACAAGAATTGGTGCCCATGAGAGAAAACTGCTTTCCTTCTCACAAATGCTTTAGGTAGTGTTTCAGATTTTGAAAAATCTGAAAAGTGTCGCATGCATTTGTGTTTAGACCCTTTAAGTCAGTACTTTTAACCTCAATTATAAATCACAGTCTACTAGTCATACAAACTGCTTATATCGAGAACTGCCCCAACCCATCCTCACGACCTTCTACAGAAGCACCATGGAGAGCATTTAGACCAGCTGTCTCACTGTGGGGTGTGGAGGTTGCTGGAAGAAGGTGAGAAGAGTGGCGAGAACAGCATAAACGATCATCGGGGCTCCTGACCCCTCCCTCTGGGAAAAGGCTATGCAGCATTCAATGCAGGTTCAACAGATTCTGCCACAGTTTCTTCCTGATCGCCACCAGAAAGCTGAACTGTTCTTCTAAATCATGTCACAAACTCTGCATCACACTGATAACACCAAACCAAAACAATGCATATTTGCACCATATATATTATTGGTCTGAAATTCCATAACAGCATAACCCTTTTGCACCATCATTTTTTCCCCCACACTGTTTACACTTGATCACTGCTGCACTTTATGGAATGGAATTGTCTGAAAGCTGTACTAAACAAAATTTCCTTTTGTATAGACAATGTGAATACAAAATGAAAATAGAGTTGTCTAAGTCTAAAATTGTTCCCTAACATTTCTATACAATGTAAGCTTAGTTATTTGATTCTTTGGTGACTCTTCAAACAGTGGTTTTAAGTAAAGAATGCAGATGAAAACTATCAGAAAGTCCAGCTGTTCAACTGTCCTGCAAGGACTTTTCTGATTAGCTGGATTCACTATAATTGGTTGCAGATGTTAAACGAAGACTTGATGGCTGCAGAAAGTAACAGCTCTAGTTCAATATGAACTGGATATAATTTATAATAAAAGCTGAAATAGCTTGGAAACTTGTTTCAGTTTTTTTTAAATGTCTGAACCTATCTGATAAGACCGTGGACCGCCTCAGATATCGCATTGTATTGTCATTGGAGTTATATTTCGGTCGTTCTTCCGAGCCGCAGCTCTCCTCCTTACCTGTAGATGGCGCTCCTCAGAGAAAGCCATTTTTTTTCTTCCCTTTTTCCCCCCCGACTGTTTCGTGTGCAACAAAGTACTGAGCTTGGCATTAACCAAGAGGGGAAAGCCACCCGTTCTAAGAATCTTTATATTTCGGCATATTTTTTTTCCATTTTTTATATATTTCAAATTTTCTCCCGACGTATTAATTTTTCAAAACATGAGTAAACTGTGTTTCGGTCTTTGGACATAGTTGGGACGCTTTGTGGAGGGGCAAGTTTTCCCCCTTTATTTTTTAGTATATTGTCGAGCGTTTTGTTGAGCTGCTGCAGGATATAACGAGGGGGAAAAACGAACTATAACTAATAGAGGAGCACTGACGAACTATTGAAATACAGGAGAACCGCGGCGCAGCCGCCGACGACAGCGCAACGGGGAGCCGGGGCCCGAGAGGGAGCCTGCCAGGCCCTCGGCTTGATGCACCCAGCCTGCCTTGCTGCCACAGCAACAGTCCGAGATGGGGGAAACCAAAATAATTTACCACCTCGACGAGCAGGAGACTCCATATCTTGTAAAGTTGCCCGTGCCTGCAGACAAAGTCACTCTAGCAGACTTCAAAAACGTCCTGAAGAAACCGAATTACAAATTCTTCTTCAAATCTATGGACGATGACTTCGGGTAACTGCCGGTTATTATCATTGTGTGTATAGTGGAGTTATGATAACGACCCATTTTCCTTCAGTTACTAAAATATGTTGCTGTTAACTGTTCTCCTGCCCCAGCTGTGATCTCACCATTATCCCTTTCTATTGATTGTGGGTGCTCTGTCCTTTCTTTGTTAGCTGCTAGCTTCTACACTCACAGCGGCTCTGCTCTGCGTCCAGACCTCGTTTGTTTACATTGCTTGTCTCGAATTTGTATGACCAAGTTTGGTGTTACACTTCCCACAATCAGACAAATGCTACGCTAACTTCTAAAGTTCCAATACTTCACATTGAAATGGGGATAAATGACACCATGGATGATTCCTTGATTAGATCTCAGTACTGTCAGATTCAGGTCCCAGCCTATGCTAACGGTCTAGTGTCAGAATGAAGGGGGCCAGTTTGAGTCGCTGAGAGCCGCAGGCCCCTTGTTGTCTATTAGCCAGAGGAATGCAGAGTTGAACACAGGAATGTCCTCTTCATCACTCTGGCAGCTTTATGAGCCTGTCCTTTTGTGTTAAAACACAGCAAGACTCTGTTCAAGTTCTTAGACTTGTAGACTTAATGAAACATTTTCTTGGCGACAATTTCCCAATGTTGCCCCTGAATAAACACCCACTAGGGTGGGGCAAGTACTTAAAAGATTTGCAAGTAGGAAATATTCATTCCTTGTAATTATATAACCAGAAGATCACTACTTGTAAACTATACCTATAGAATACCTTGCTTATTAAACTATTTTATAATGCTTTTATGCTTGCATGAAGGTTTCTGTAATTAGGCATATTTTATCATGTGTATATATCCGGCAGATTTTGGCAAGGTATCTACATGGTCTTTGACTCCAATGTGAATTTATTTATTTTTTTCTCCAATGTTTTTTTTAATCAAATTTTCTCTTTTTTGATACAGCAAACTTACCTTTTAACATGTACTTATACACACATATATTCACCATTAAAACCTGCATTTGTCTAGTTCCAAAAATATATAAAGCCCTTAAGATTAAGGCAGAGACATTAAAAAGACAAAAAAAGGGGCAATATATGAATAAAAACTGTAGTCAAGACATCCATTCAAAACTCCCATCAATAAGCTCCAATTTCAGTCCCTACAATCCTCATATATGGCTCCCATAGATTCTCAAAGTCCCGTTGTTTGCCTTTGCCAATGTATGATAGTTTTTCCAGTCCGAGTGAGCTCTCAACTTCTTTTCTCCAGAGTCCCATGGAGGGGGCTTCAATGCTCCTCCAGCATAGTACAACAGATCTTCTGGCTTGAAGAAGTCCGTAGTCTATCAATGTAGTTATCCTCTGCGATTCTTTAAATTCTATCGGATATATTCCTAGAACACAGATTTTAACCTCTAATAGGACTTTTACTTTAAGCAATTTAGATAGACGCCTAATAAAATCCTTCCAAAACTTTTGGACTTTAGGACATTCCCACAAACAATGGAGAAGAGTTCCTTTTTCAGATAAACATTTAGTGCAAATATCTGGAATATCACTGGACATATGATGAAGCCTAACTGGTGTTATATAGGTTCTCATAAGCTGTTTATATTGCAGAAGTTTAAATCGTGTATTTATCGTTTGTTTTTGTGCTTTCTAATGTGCCTTTATAATATTTTCCTTTTGAATCATCTTGCAGCATCACATACAGCATCGCTATGACAGGATATATGAGATGAAATATCTTTAAAATTCAAGCAAGTCAGAAGATAGTACTTTGCAGAAGGAGAGGGACAATGTTGATGGTGCTGTTTTTTAAGGGGTCAACCTAGTATTTATATAAGTTACAAAGAAAAATAAAATACTGCAATAATATTATTTTTATCCAATGTAAATCATATAAATCAGGAGCAAACCAGAACAATAGCATATTTAAAACAGAAACAGAATATGGTTCATTAAAAGCAATTATAGTTCCGTGATAAGATAAAACATCTTATATAATTGGAGCAATTTTAATCAAGTTGAAAATCAAATCCACTGTTCATCAGATTTATACCTTAGGAAAAAAAGGGGGCTCTTTTTAAAACAATAACAAAGATTAATTACAGTTTATTTACTTTTTTTTAAATCAGGAATTCAGTAAAGTGCTATAACAGTGATTATAACAGCAGTAAAATAATAATATTTGTTTTCGTTTTGTTGCTAACACTTTGTTCTTAAGCACCAACATAAAGAACCTTTGGTTTTGCTGTGGCTATTCCAAAAAAATATCCCTGTTTTTCCGTTCTGCTTTTGTGCTTGCATAACACAAGTGTAGGTTGTAAATTAGCCTGGCTGTCTGCTCTAGTAGCCATTCGTGAGCTGCTAAAGAGGCATGCCAGGCGCAGGTTCGAATCTTTAGTTTTTTAAACATTGTCTATTGTCTTAGCTTTATCTAAAAATGGTTCATGTGAGGAACATGTCTAGGAGAGGAACCTAGAGATCCCTCAGATCAAGTTAGACTCTCCAGCTCCTACAGTACTAGGAAACCCCAAGGTCAGGAGGTATATGTGTACCCCTGCCAAAGGGCTGTGTTTTTTCATGCCAGGGCTTTCTCCCAGTGTGATGCATCTGGAAAAGCTTCAGGGGAGGCCTTCTGATCCAAAACCACCTCAGAATGTCATTAGCCTGAACTCCCCCAGATGATGGAGCACATCACCCTATTGCTAAGGTTGTCAGACTCATGTGAGCTGATTGTTTCCCGGATATTGGTTTAAAGAGTTTCATAACTCACAGTAGCTTTCCTTTAGTTTACTATCTCACATTTCTTGTTAGCCAGGGTAATACTTAGCCTGCCTGTCATCTTTCAGCCAGATGACCAGCAGTGCACAGTAGCACATGTAAGTGGGACAAATCAAAGTTGTCGGAAAAAGCTTCTGAGATTTTCTTATTAAGGGCTTTTAGCCACTGCAATTGCATGTTTTATTCGCAGTTTTAAAATCTGTAACTGTAAAAACATGTTAATACTGTGAATTATTTTGCTCTGGGCTCCTCTGTTTTCTAGCAGCATACTTGGACGAACAATAAAGGAGAACAAGCTTCCTCTGTCGGCTCTTGCAGATGGATGCACAACTTGCACAGTGATATTATACTGGTGACGGTGTACTGAATGAAAGCGTGTGTTTTTTGTTTTTGTTTTTTTCCAGAGTGGTAAAGGAAGAGATATCTGACGACAACGCTAAGCTGCCCTGTTTCAATGGACGTGTGGTGTCATGGGTAAGCTTAAAATGAACCCTGGAGTTGCTTTGTTTGTTTTTTACGTGTCTGTTTAATGCACTCGAGTTGTATTGGGCACCATTGAAGTGTAGCAGTAATTACCATCTGTTGTTCACTAACCATGACCATACATCATCTCCAGGGAGTGGCCTTAAGCATCTGTGCAATAATATCATTATCAGATAATGATCCTTGGATGAACGCGGAAATGCTCTTTCTTCCCGATATTTACTCTTTGATAAACATATTTTTCTCAGTAGCTTTAAAACATTTCATTCAAACTCGTGTATTGTCTTTTAGTATCAGTCTACCGTGCAGTCTGTTCTAGCAGTTTTCCTGTGACAAAAACACAAAGTATATTTGGTGATGGTTCAAAGCCTTCCTTGTTGTCTGCTCAAATTGAATTAAAAGCAAGTGAAATCACAGGACAGCAGGAAAATGGCTGATGACAAAGCCTCTCACTTCAGTTCATCTAACAAGAAGATTGAATCTTACAGGGAGGGGAGAGTAAAGTTAAAGAGGGAGACTGTTCTGATTCTGGATGTAAGAGGTTGATGCCTCTTTCTAATGCATCACCATGTGGTTATAATTATAGCTTTTATTTATCTTAAGCTTCATCAACACAGAGCCATTGCTGTCTTTTTATAACAGATTGTGCAGAGCTTAATGCGCTCTTCAGTTGTGGTATTTTTCTTTAGTGTGTTTACAGATTGTGTAGCTGGATTTAAAAAGTCACATCCTCTGTGCGTATGTGCATGACCACGTTTATCTATTTAGAGATGATTAAATTTTTCACAAATGGAGCATAGCTTTTTTTTTTTCTGCTAGCTCCGTTTGTCCGCAGTTCTCATCTGTTGTTTCAGTCATCTGATCGATTGTCCTCTGGGGTCCAGTAGCCTGATCTGCAGCAGATTTCATTATTGCTGCTTGTCAAATATGTTGTTAATATGGCTTATTGTCAATGAATAATCTGGTTTATCAACAGAGATTTTTTTCTGCTTGGTCCTCAGTGGAAAATTTCTTCGACATGACGTTTTTTTCCACCTAATAATATATACTGACAACAAATACATAGAATGAAATATCAATTTCCAAAGCAGGATTACACAGAAAACACATTATGTACAATATCACTTTTAATAAGTCTGTATTTATTGTTTGAGTGTAAATTAAGGGAGTGTTGGCCTAGGGGTTAGAGCGGTGCGGTTGTGCTCTGAGAAGGTTGTAAGTACCCGGTTTGCTCCCCACATCCTGAGCAAAACTCTTTACCCCGCACTGCTCCCCAGGCGCCACACAATGGCAGCCCAATGCTCCCAAAGGGGGTGGGTTAAACGCAGAGAGTGAATTTCCCCATTGTGGGACAATAAAGGGATTTACATTTTTTTTTTTTTTTATGTTTAAACAAATTCAGTTTCATGTGCAGGTGGGTTAATGAAACCACAAAAGGTATACAAATAAAGCCAGTTAGCTGGTAGCAGTAAACACAATGGCTGACTAGTAACTTTTGACAGATTCTGAAAAAAATGAAATCTGAAATCTGCTAGTTTTATTTTGTTCTTTAGGACTGGTTTGCACCTATAAAATAACCTGCAGCACATATTTCTTCATAGACTTTAGTCTGTCAGATTGGAACCAGTTGGTCAAAGAAAATGGGGAACTCAGAACCTCCTTGTTAAGAGCCTGATCTGCGTATCTATCCATACATCAATACAGTGTTCTTACGTATATAACGTTTTTTATAGTGCAACAGATCTTCTGGCTCCTGGCATATCTGCGGTCAATGGCATCTTGGTCTCTACTGTGTGGTAGTGGGAGGGATTAACACTCATTCAACTGTTAAAATATATTGTTAGCTAACAGAATTTGAGTTCATGACACTTTAAATATCATGGCCTGCAATGTATTTTTGTTTTTAATAGTGAATCAAAGTTTTTCTATATTATGCAGCAACTTTCACAACAGCATTCCTCTGTAGATTAACTCTCCACCCTGTGAGATTCAATCTTGTTGATTAAATAAGGTCAGAGGCAAATGTATTAAAATGTATAAAACAAAAAAGGGCAAATACAAACAGGTGTTCTAAGGAACTGTGATCAGTCACTTTTTGCCTTAAGAGGCATGTGCATGTGGTAGCTTGCTTTTGGTAGGGCAGGTTTTAATAAAAAAAAAAAAAGAAAGAAAGAAAATATGACCCTGCCATCTTGTTTTGTCTGTGACAAACTTTCCAAAACGAGTTTAAACAATTGCACAGAACCGTGGGTCACTGCTTTAACACACTAGCTTGTTGTGAAACTGGTTCCTCACAGCCTTTTCTCTCCATGTTTTTCTCACAATTGCTGGATGCTTTCCCTCTCTCTGCATTAAGTTGGTGTCGGGAGATGGATCTCAGACAGATGCAGGCTCGGTGGCCGACAGCTTAGAGCAGACACCACCTCTGGAGAGAACCGGGGGCATTGGAGACTCCAGACCACCCTCCTACTAGTAAGTATATTCAAAGATGGTTCTGCTTCCTCTGGTTGGTTTTTGTTCATGTTGAAAGCATCGGTTTAGAAAACTATGAATGGGACTTTAGTTTCCTAATCTCTAAAGAAAACACATTCACTCTTTTTGTGCTCAAGTTTGTTTACGCATATAATGCAGTTTTCCCATATTTTTTTCCATATTAATTTTATTTTGGTGAGGAATTCTTTTTAGAAAACATTTAACATTAGAATATATTTCAAGAACTTGCTTTGCATGCAAGATTGCCAAACAAACAGTGCTTCAAAATGAATGAACAGTTTACTTCTACTTAATGTCCAGCTACATGTACTGAACTGCTTCCTTCCATACAGACTGGATTTGAGCTCCAGCCATAGAGATAAATTATATACCTTTATTTTAATGGCTGTTGAATAAGTCCAGTCTGATAATTACCAGGAGTAATTCTGAAGTTTCTCCTTTGCTTTCTCTCTGTCTTTAGTGGGAAAGCAACGAGTGGGCGGGACAGCTTGGACAATGACACAGAAACCGGCTCCATTGTGTCGCAAAGGAGAGACAGAGACAGGGAGAGGCCAAGACGGAAACACTCAAACGACCACGGTCAGAAAGTCGCACTTGATTCATAGATCATCGTTGTTACATTTTTCTTCATTCATTTGCATGCATGGGTAGCCATAGTTACCTTTTTGTCTAAAGAGTGCACACATTAGAGCAATTCACTTAAAAAAGTCAGGTTAAAGCTGTGGGGTTTTATAAGGAATGTCTTTCTGCTAAGATGCAAATGAATGAACAGAAATAAAGCCTTAAGGGTATAGTGGAGGACGTTCTTTTTCCAAAACAAGTGGTCCTCCTAATTTTCAATCATTCTGGTGATATGTTTACATAAGGCTGTCCTATGTGGTCCTTTCCATTTTCACTTACCGGTGGTGAGTCTGACATACAGGTGCTGGTCATAAAATTAGAATATCATGAAAAAGTAGATTGATTTCAGTAATTCCATTTAAAAAGTGAAACTTGTATATTATATTCATACATTACATACAAACTCATATATTTCAGATGTTTATTTTGTTTAATTTTGATGATTACAAATGACAACAAATGAAAATCTCAAATTCATCATATCAGAAAATTAGAATATTACTGAAGACCAATAAAAACAAAGGATTTATAGAAATGTTGGCCAACTGAAAAGTATGAACATGAAAAGTATGAGCATGTACAGCACTCAGTATTTAGTTGGGCCTCCTTTGGCCTGTATTACTGCAGCAATGCGGCGTGGCATGGAGTCGATCAGTCTGTGGCACTGCTCAGGTGTTATGATAGCCCAGGTTGCTCTAATAGTGGCTTTTAGCTCTTCTGAATTGTTGGGTCTGGTGTATTGCATCTTCTTCTTCACAATACCCCATAGATTTTCTATGGGGTTAAGGTCAGGAGAGTTTGCTGGCCAATTAAGAACAGGGATACCATGGTCCTTCAACCAGGTACTGGTAGCTTTGGCACTGTGTGCAGGTACCAAGTCCTGTTGGAAAATGAAATCTGCATCTCCAAAAAGTTGGTCAGCTGCAGGAAGCATGAAGTGCTCTTACACTTCCTGGTATGTGGCTGCGTTGACCCTGGACCTCAGAAAACACAATGGACCAACACCAGCAGATGACATGGCACCCCAAACCATCACTGACTGTGGAAACTTTACACTGGACTTCAAGCAACGTGGATGAAGTGCCTCTCTTCTTTTCCTCCAGACTCTGGGACCTTGATTTCCAAAGGAAATGCAAAATTTACTTTCATCAGAGAACATGACTTTGGACCACTCACCAGCAGTCCAGTCCTGTTTCTCCTTAGCCCAGGCAAGACGCTTCTGACGCTGTCTGTGGTTCAAGAGTGGCTTGACACAAGGAATGCGACAGCAGAAACCCATGTCTTTCATACGTCTGTGTGTGGTGGTTCTTGAAGCACTCACTCCAGCTGCAGTCCACTCTTTGTGAATCTCCCCCACATTTTTGAATGGGTTTTGTTTCACAATCCTCTCCAGGGTGCGGTTATCTCTCTTGCTTGTACACTTTTTTCGACCACATCTTTTCCTTCCCTTCGCCTCTCTATTAATGTGCTTGGACACTGAGCTCTGTGAACAGCCAGCCTCTTTAGCGATGACCTTTTGTGTCTTGCCCTCCTTGTGCAAGGTGTCGATGGTCGTCTTTTGGACAACTGTCAAGTCAGCAGTCTTCCCCATGATTGTGTAGCCTATAGAACTAGACTGAAAGACCATTTAAAGGCTTTTGCAGGTGGTTTGAGTTAATTAGCTGATTAGAGTGTGGCACCAGGGGCCATCAATTTTGAACCTTTTCACAATATTCTAATTTTCTGATATGATGAATTTGAGATTTTCATTTGTTGTCATTTGTAATCATCAAAATTAAACAAAATAAACATCTGAAATATATGAGTTTGTATGTAATGTATGAATATAATATACAAGTTTCACTTTTTAAATGGAATTACTGAAATCAATCTACTTTTTCATGATATTCTAATTTTATGACCAGCACCTGTAGTGGAAAAATAGCAAATCTTCTTTTGGAAAGTAAGCTTGTATGAGCGATGCAAACAGCAAGTTTTAAACAGAGCGTGCACGAGGAGAAATGGGATTGTGCATTCTGTAACACATTTAATAGGCGTTCACTCTTGGAATCTGGTACAGGGTTTTGCATGTGCATTTTTTTTTTTCTCAAAAATCCTCCACTATACCTTAAGTTTGTATATTGAGGACAGCTTTTATTATAATTTATAATGACTGCTGGCAGGGTTATAGAATTATATGGTACCTACATGGATATAAAAAACAAAAACAAACAATTTGATGTTTCATTTGTGTTTCTATTTTTGGAGTGTAACCTCTCTGTTTTGATTGAAATACTGTACTGCTGCAGGTGGAAGGCAGAATGGGTATTCATCGCGAGCGATGGGACGCGGAGCAGCCGAGTACGACAGCTGCTCATCTTTCATGAGCAGCGAGCTCGAGTCTACGTCCTGCTTCGATTCAGAAGATGATGATGCAACCAGCAGGTTGGATGTTGGCTATGGCTACTTTGACCACACATTTAGCTGTAATATTAGGAAATGCTCTCATTTCTCTTTGTCAACATAAAGAAAAGGGGCAGTTGACTTATTTCTACAGATTCAATTATCGGAACGTTGATTTTTTTTTATTTTACAATTATTTTCATTTAATGTTCCATAAGAAAAATAGATAAAAGAACAGCATACAAATTGTTTTTCCCAGTGTTGGTGTTTTAATAATCATTAATTATGTAACGCAGGAGCAGAGGGAATGTATTGCTGCATATGTGAACGAAGAGTTGACCCTAGCATCTTACTTTAGCATTTAGCAATGCCAGTATTATGTAAATACCAGATTCGATGTGTGTTCCCTAGAATGCATTTCCTAAAATAGATGTTATCTTGACTACCTTGTAAACAATGTCATCATTTGGCAGAAAACCCAACACTAATGATATATAAACATTAATGTTGTGCACAGAATGGTTTGTTTATGATATATGCATTTGAAATAGGTTAATATATACTAGGGCTGAAACAATTGATCAGATTAATCGATTATTAAAATAACCGTCAACTATTTTAGTAATTGATTAGTCATTAAATGGACTATAGAGATTGAAAAACATGCTTTTAGCTGATAGAGCAACCTACTTAAAGCAGCAATTATATGGAAATTGTAAAAAAAATTATATAAATATTTTGCATTTAAGATAAAAAAAAAAAACATTTACATCTGTGAATATGCTCTACCACAAGTGAAAAAGTTTTAGTTTCATCTTGTTTAATTCTGTAAAAAACCTTTTAAGGAACCTTTTCCTTTCCGATTATTAAAAGATTAGCATAATAGTTTTTAGTTGCCGTCATATATATATATATATATATATATATATATATATACACACATAATGTATCCTGGAGATTTAGTATGTGTGCTCCATAATATGTAAAATTAAAAATGAAATTCCTTTTTAGGTTCAGTAGTTCCACTGAGCAGAGCTCGTCTAGATTAATGAGACGACACCGCCGTCGCCGAAGGAAACCAAAGGCGTCCAATATGGACAGGGTAAGACGACACACTCCTTTCAGTAGCGCACAGGATGATGTGCTGATAAAAGCTCCTAGCCAGTTTTAAACATTATTTTTAGCTTTGTTTGCCCCTCCCACTGCTTAATCCCTAATTTTCTCAAACATCCTCTTCAGTCTTCGTCATTCAGCAGCATCACCGATTCGACCATGTCTCTGAACATTATCACCGTAACTCTTAATATGGGTTGGTTACTTAATTATTTTAAACTTAATTTTCACTATTAACCTCCCTTTTGTCCACTTCACTTTTTAATGTTTATTTTTTATTTCTCTCTCTCATCTCCTTTACAGAGAAGTACAACTTCTTGGGTATCAGTATTGTGGGTCAGAGTAATGAGAGGGGAGATGGAGGGATCTATATTGGCTCCATCATGAAGGGAGGAGCTGTGGCTGCAGATGGACGGATAGAGCCTGGAGACATGCTCTTACAGGTGCGAATATGTGAGAAGGGACTAAAAGAGAAATACATTTCCAGAAGGTTTTTTTTAAGTACAGACATTCGTTTTGAAATGTAAGGAGGGTTGAATACATGTAACAGTATATATTTACATCTAGCTTCAAAACATTTTTAAGAGTCTTTTATCAGAATGCAACTATTGTTATTTGATAGTTTCTTTTCTGTTGTAACTTTAATATCTTTTAGAAATATTAGCAGGATTGTTTTTCCCAGATTATTATATAGTTTATTTTTTTTTAAACAAGCTTAGGGAAAGTAATGGCTTTGCACTTTGGGATTTGTTAGTGCAACTGAGGAAGAGTTAAGTGGAAATAATTTTATAGCGCATACTGCTGTAAGCATGCTGCAGACAGCCTGACTCTATCTAATTCTCTGCTCTTTTTTTCTGTGTAGGTGAATGACATAAACTTTGAGAATATGAGTAACGACGATGCGGTGCGGGTGCTGAGGGACATCGTGCACAAACCGGGGTCAGTTGCAGTCATAAATACACTCCCCATAATTATACCCATAAAAAAGCAGTCTATTAAAGTTGGAGATCATTTTATTATGGTTATATTTAGTGGTAATTATCTGTGTTTTCGAAACAGCCCTATTACTCTGACTGTTGCAAAGTGCTGGGACCCGAACCCTCGGAGCTGTTTTGCTCTTCCCAGGAGTGAGTGTTTTTTTTTATTTTATTCTGTTATAGATATGTTGGGAAATATATGTAGAAACGGTAAGAGGGTTAAAGAGAAGAAATATATTGAACTGCAGCTGTCGTCTCAGTTTCAGTAAATGCAGTTGTTTCAAATACAAAGATTTTCATGCGTGCAATATTGATATATTTTAGACAAAGTGCATATCCACTTATCTATTTAAAATCAGATATAATATTTGGCCATGGTGACACACTTGGCTTGCATAGGGAGTCTTTTACTTGATGCCAACTTTTGGTATATATAGCAGCTGAGCTGTTAAAACCAAGGAAAAGTGTTGGAGACGTTGTGCTAATGGACAAGATGGTGACCTTGAGGTTAAAATATTAATATTATTTTAATGAATTTAACCAGAAAGTCATTACATTATTCTGAACATTAAATGTCTTGGGGGGGGGGAAATAAGCTTTTTTTCTCCAAATAAAACAGATTAAAAAGCACTTAGGGTTTTTTTTTTCTTTAAACTGAGCAAAGGCATTTCTTACATTCCACAGGCGAGCCCATCCGGCCCATCGACCCAGCTGCATGGGTGTCCCACACAGCCGCCATGACCGGGGTTTACCCTCCATATGGGATGAGCCCTTCCATGAGCACAGTCACATCCACCAGCTCCTCCATCAGCAGCTCCATTCCCGAGACTGAAAGTGAGTCATCTCCCCCCCTACAGCTGCCTGCTGTGGCTTGTTATTGCAGGATATTTATTCAAAACAACTGTTGTCGCTTTCATTTAGGCCCCACATACACTAGTCTGCTATAATCTAAGAGCGGTGCTCCAGGTTTGTTCAGATGTTAAATCTTAAATACTTAACACTATTCTCCCAAAACCTGTGGTCATCTAACTTTTAAAAATGCTGTAATATCCCCATATCTGATATACATGTTGCCTCTCCCTTAAACTGCATTCCTCTCTGCTCTCCGTTCCAGTTTTTAGCCCCACAGCTTCCATCTGTTCAATAACTCTCCCTCAAACTGGGCTATAACTCAAACGAGTTTAATCTCCCCTGTAATCGCTGGAAACAACTGAGATGTTCTGGCTTCATTTCTAGAAGAAATATGTTTCCTCTTTATGCACAGTTTCCAACCAGCTTGTGATCTGATATGCATCTATGTATGTTTTCACCCTAAAATGAAACATAAGTGTCATACAGCTGCATAAAGTTAGCGTTAATATATTTTTATATACTGTAGGATGTTGGCTTTATTTCAAATGCAGCATCAGAGAAGTTAGTAGAATAAAGATGAGCTGTTAAAAGCGATTTATGGAAGGATTATTTTCCCCCCAGGTATTTCAAAGCAGCTTTCATATAGCTAGCTAGCATCATCTGTGATATTACAGAAGGCTTTATATCTAAGGGTGGATTAAGTAAGCTACATGCCCTAAATTTTTTACTCTTCAAAATATGCAATCTTGGAATGTGCTGAGACTCTGTTCTAATGATTTATGAGATAGTTTGCTTTTCTAAGGAATACAATTTTTAGAGCTACTGAGCTATTTGTGTGGAATAATTACCAGTCTGAATCTAGTTTGAAAATCACAATGAAAAGCGCACATTGATCCTGTTTCATTTCAGGCTGCAGGAAATCATTATTTAAGGCAAATTCCTAAACAACATTTTTGCATTTGTCCCAGTAACACAACTCAGCAGTTTAGCAAGTGTTTTTGGGAAAAAAAATAAATAAAACCGAATGTAGCTTAGTTTGTTGGGTTTACTTGGGTTCTGTTATTTATTTATTTGTAAACTAAGATTTGTCCTTTTTATGTCTCTCAGGATTTGATGACTTTCATCTGTCAATTCATAGCGACATGGCAACAGTTGCTAAGGCTATGGCCTGTCCAGAGTCGGGACTGGAGGTGCGGGACAGGATGTGGCTGAAGATAACAATCGCTAACGCCTTTATTGGTATGTTTATCAGAGAAGGGGAGATGGTTGAGAGACCAAAACCAACTAGAGCATAATTGGGAAGTGAAAAGACAAGTTTGTTGGAGAACATTAGTAAAAAAAAAAAAAAAAGCAGCACCGTGTGAATAAGAGACACTGCAGATTCCTTGATTCATAAGTTATAAACCATTGTCTAATGCTTGAACATCTTTATGAGATTAGTTGTATAAATCATTTGGAAATAGGAAGAGTGACCCAACTACAAAGCCATCAGCCTAAACCTACAGGGCAAGGTTTTGAGAGCATCAGCCAAATATTTATTCAAGAGGCTCATGATAACTCTGGGAAGTAGCCACAGAGATACACAGCTTGGCAGGGAAAATCTCTGCACAGAATAACATTCAGTTGTGAACTCTGCAGATTTTACTTCAGTGGAAATTTTACAAAGAAAAAAAACAAACCAAAAAAGAAGTAATGTTTGCAGGCAATGGCATACCATGAAAAGCACATGCCAAACACGAGGAAGGATCTGCTCAGTACACACAAAAAAAAAACATTTTCTAGATGGATGGATTATGTCATCTGCTATCCCCTTCATGATAGCTGGTGGCAGCATTGTGCCTTGGTAACACTTCTCTTCATTAAATGGCTGTACAGATGAAGTTGATCAGATTTGATTGAAAGATGGATTAAAAAAAAAAACAATTTCAGCTGTAAATAGATTAACTGCACCAGAGGTTAACCTTCCAGCAGGACATTGACCCTAAACATACAAGTACAATTAAATGGTTAAGCTATGTTGGAAATACAGCCTGTATGTGTTGGTGAGATCTTCCAAAAGAAAAGAAGGATGTAATTGCCACTGAAGGGTTTCTACAAAGTATTTAGCCAGGAAAGGATACGGATGCACACCATGAATCCTTTACCTTTCTCACTCATGTTCTATTTGATTAAATACACTGAAATTTATGACCATAACATGACAGAACGGCTGAAGGAATGTTTATATTCCTGAAATAGATGTTATATGTTTACTCTTGCCTATCCTTTATTTAGATTCTCTGCTCAATTTGTAGTCCAATATTATTGGTATTGCCTAAATACTTTTTTCTTTTGGCCGTGATTTTCTGTGATATTCCATAGCATTATGGTGCCGTGGCCATTGAAAGAATAATGCCATTTAATCAATAAGAGACATACGACTGTGTGGCTTGTAAAAATGTGTTTGGCCTTCTCTGTCTCAGGGTCTGATGTGGTGGACTGGCTCTTCCATCATGTAGAAGGATTCTCAGATCGTCGGGAAGCACGTAAATATGCCAGCAACCTGCTGAAAGCGGGCTACATAAGGCACACTGTTAATAAGATCACATTTTCTGAGCAGTGTTACTATGTCTTCGGGGACCTATGTGGCAGTAAGTGTTCAGAGCTGTTTTTCTTCATTTGTTGACTAGCGATAAAAGTTACAGAATCATCTGTCATTTGCTAAATATTTTAAGCAAGGAAATAGAGAGATTGTGGCAGCTTAAATCAAATGATTCCCTTGTTTTCCTCAGATATGGCCCATCTGTCCCTGCATGACCACGATGGCTCTAGTGGGGGGGCCTCAGACCAGGACACAGTTCCTCCTCTGCCTCACCCAGGGGCTGCTCCATGGCCAATGCCTCTGCCTTATCAGTTTCCTATTCCACATCCTTATGACCTGCCACAGCCTTTCCATGGAGGACCAGGAGCAGGCAGTGCTGGAAGCCTGCACAGTGGTGAGTGGGAACCCTGCAGATTTTCATTAAGCATATTGATCAACCTGTTATTTTGTGTACAGATAAACATTAAAAACAGCAGTGAGCTTACTTTGATGTCAAAGACTAATTTACCGATTTAATCTCCCAACAGGACTGAAGAGAATCTATAGAAAAGCTTAAATTGCATTTCTGATACATTTGCTAAAAAGGCTATTCTGTATTTCAGGGCTTCCCAAACAATGCTAATATGTGACCCCAAAAATTAGTGTGCCAGAGACTGGTGACCTCTATTGGTAACAGCATGTAATTATTTCACTCTGTTTCTAAATATAGATTGAAATAATCAGATGTATTTTTGAATACATTTATTTTTAAAATCTAGGGCCAATTTACAACACATGTCATCTTAAGGTATTTTACAGAGAGAATTCAACCAGATCAGGTAGACAGATTTAAATATTACTTTCAGTCATGCTTATCCCAGGCAGGGTTGCGAGTGGTGCTGGTGCTCCAGCTGTCTACAGGGGCAAGAGGCGGCGGTACACCCTGGACAGGTCGCCAGTCCATCGCAGCCATAGAGACACACATTTTATATATTTTTTCATGTATAAAAAAGTTGTATATCTAATTATTTTGTGTAACATTTTATAGTTTATTTTGATTTATTTATTTCATTTTGGCCCTCCATACACCTGAGGCATCACATTACAATGAATCTGGAAATCCTGCAACCTCTGCCTTACATTATTAGTATCACTCGTTTTGGAAATGTCTTACCGATGTTTAAGAAAATGTTAAGGGTAGCATTTTAATACCATTGATTTTTAACACACCGTTCAGTTAATACATATGGAATTCAAGAGCCAGTGGAGACGGTTGTACATCCTTAACTGTAGGTAAACACACGTTACTAGTTCACCATAAATTCTTCATGGTTGTTTGGCTGATTCCTACTCCTTTTAATGTCTGAAGGGATAGTGTGCCCTATTATAAGATAAATTAACTCTTTGCTGTTATTCGGCATCTAGATCATGCTGCGTTTAACACAAAGTGGCCAATTTTACTCTACTGTGTGTGGTGATTGTGTTCTTGGTCTACTATACCTGAATCAAACATATTTTGTATACACACTGAACATAATAGGTTTGATTAACTGTTGTGATTGGCATTACAGGACACAGTTCAGGTCAGTAAGCTCTTAAGGGGGGGGGGGAGCTTGGCAGATAAACTCAGAACTGGCCATATTTGTTGTCTGGAATTTTAGGTATTTAAGATCTGGGTGAGAAAAAAACAGCCTTTGTGGTTTTAGAAAATGTCTGCTTACAACTGAGTTATTCAATGACTAACAACAGCTGGACCCACGGAGACACTTCTTAGTTATGCTGTTTTCATTCCTTTCTGTTTTCCTTGTGCTTTACTTGATTTTAAAACATGCTTGTTGATTGTTTGCAAGACATGACAAAAAACAATACTTGAACAATACGCGAAGTGTGCTTCAAGACTTTCTGAAGTTGACATATCAACTGTATGCATTCAGGCTGTCAGTTTGACAATATACCAAGCTACTAATACTTGAATCCATAAAATAAAGATAATTTCTTTTGGCAAATGGTCTTCAAATCATCGAGAGTTCATCTATGTTGAATCAGTTGTATGTTTTGGATCATTATCCTAATGAAAAACAAATGGATAACCCATCTGCAGCTGAGATGTGTTTTCTGAAATGGTCTGGTTTTTTTGTTTTGTTTTTTGAAAAACTTAATGCTGCCAAAAAGAAGTGTCTAATGGTCGTCAGACAATGAGATGCAATCTACATGCCACTATTTGCTGCCCTGGACTTGGGGGATGTACACTATAAACCATGCCTTTTAGCACGTATGATAGAAGAATAAACAATTTCTTATTGAAATTCTTAAAAACTCTTATCAACCTTTAGAAAAAAATGTTTAGGTTTTAGTCCAATGGTTGCCTTATTTTATTACAAAGAGGGGTCTGGCGTTCTGATGAGTGTAAAGCAAGTATTGATAAAAAAAAAAAAACACCTTTTTTAAACAGAAATTTTTTTACTACGCCCTACGGAATAAATACACTAAAATTAACGTTTTTTTGTTTTGTATTGCAATAAAAATTTTTTTTCTGTATGAATGTTTTAACATATCAGTACAAAGAGTTTCACTTTATTATTTGCCCTTTTATATATATATTTTTTTATGGCAATGAAACAAAAAAAAAAAGTGTCTTTAATTGTCTCTTGTAATTCATTTAACAGGAAGCAGTGGCTCTAACTGCAGCAAGAACGAGGGCCGGAAATCTGGTGGCAGTGGCAGCGAATCTGAGGTCAGGAGCAACAGAGCCCCTAGTGAGCGATCAATAGCTCCCCCTAGTGAGCGCAGCATCCGTAGCTCTGTCAGCCACCGCAGTGCCAACTCTCATTCAATTGCCTATGGGCCCGGCCTTGTCTACGGTCCCCCCGGGCTGCCACCCCAGCCCACACATTTGTCTACCGCTGCACCTGGTGCTCCACAAGGCAGAGAGCTGCCATCTGTGCCTCCTGAGCTGACCGCTTCCCGCCAGTCTCTGCGTATGGCAGTTGGCAACGCTGGAGAGTTCTTTGTCGACGTAATGTGACCATGTGTTGAAGTTGGGAATAAAGTAGCAGGTTGGATGTTCTTATCACCATTTATGTGAGGAGGACATTGTGACAGGTTGAAGGAGGCAGGAAAGATTGCAAAAGCTGTAACTCAAGGTCTTGATAACTTTTTCAAAAGCATAAAACCAACCTAGTTTTGCATGCTGATAAAAAAAAAGATGTCCTTATCACTTGTGCTTCTCTCCCAAGTAATAATGTTCATACTTTCTTCAGTGAAGAAAAACCCCTTTTTCAAGATGGAACCAAAGTGTCTTTCTCAGGGTGGGTGGAAGTTTGTTTAAGGACAAGGCTGGAGTGAGATGGCTCTGGAGGAAACGCTCAACTGGAAGGATGACTCAGCTTAAAACCACATGGATGGGGTTCATTTATGCTGCTCTTTACTCTTCCCACCTCTGCTCTGCTTTCCTTATCTGTTCAGTCCACCCACCCCCCCCAGTCCTCTCCATGGCATGACAAAATGAAGCCTTTCCTCTGTTCTTTTTGTCCATACTCTGACCTCTAACAAGAAAAAACTAAAGAACACTAAATGCTAACCTTGATTCTAATGTTTATGATACTTGCTTGGCATAAAAGAGAAGAAATGAGAGCTTTTGTATGTAGAATTGCAGTTGTTTTTTACTGTAATGTTGCATTTTTCTTATAATATACATAGTTGGTCACTACCAAGTTCATTTTAAAGCTTAACAGGAGCATTGAACATTAAGAGTCATTTTTACACTACAATGTTAAAATATTTCTGCTAACCAGAGAACTTTCGGTCTCACAATGTATAGTGAAACTTTTCTTACCAGGCTTTTCACACTACTCTTTGATCAAGGAAAATGTCTTTTTATTTATAAATATAGTTTTATGACATAAATGTGGTGTTTTGTGGGGTCTTTTCTGTGTGTTTGTGATTCAGTCTAACAGAAAATAACTCCATGGGCCTTTTTTCCCCCCATGCTAACCCAGGTCATATTTGCATTTAAAAGCAGTGGATTCCAGGATGTCTATGAGCAGGAATGTGAAGGTTGGCCAGTCTGGTTTGCAGATGTGTGTAGTAGGGGTGGGATGGGGTATAAAAAGAGCAGTATGTGTACAGTTAAATTGGTGTCGGAACTGAATGACCCTGTGCAAATTTTTTCTGTAGATTCAGGTGGAATAACCTCCACAAAAAGCTGATGCTGCTTTTTCCCCTCTGTGGGAGTTGACTTCTTAAGGCGATCATTTAGGTAAAAGGGTTCCAGTACAGTTTTAAAGTCTAAAGTATTCCTTTTAATTTAGGTCAAAGTCTCAAACTCCAATCCTAAACTCTGGTGTCCTGCAGCTTTTTTCGACACCTCTAAATCTAATAATTAGGTTATTAGTTAGACTTAGTTGTTCAGAACTCCATGAACCAGGAAGGCAGTTCAGACGCTAGATTAAAGCAGCTGTTCACTAAATCTCAAGGACTGTAGTTTTGGTTGATTTATGTTTTCCAAGTCTGGGGTAACAGTAAGCAAGAGTTACTTTAAGAGTTCATTTAGAATTTTGTCTTATTAAAATTGCATCTTTATATAATTTATCCACTATACATTCATGTATTTTAGTCATTAATTTCTTTTATCTATACATTTTTTTCCAACAAGCTATTACTTAAATTATTTTTGCCATGCACCCATTTATGCATCTTATTTTAATCCTCTATCACCATTTATTTTATGTATTTTGCCTTTTTCTATTCTAATTGTCCTTTTGTCAACAATTTTTATATTAAAAACATGATTAGATGCAGCTTTTATGGAATGGAAAAGTTTTGCACTTGTACTTCAAAACCTATGACAAAACATGTTCACTAGGAAAGTATGGGCAAAATTGCAGAAACCCTGGGAAAAAATAAGTTCAGAAATATCTCATATTAGAACATTTTAACAGTCTTCTGCCGCCCTTCTGGTCCTTTTGGGGAACTGCATCTCACTAATATTTAAGATAAGTTCAGACCTGTGTTGTTTCCTAATGAAGGCAGGGTGATTTGCCATCCTAAATAACGATGTGCTCCTTGACTAATATCTAAACCCTATAAGAGGCAATTAGTCGCTCATTTGCTTATGATAAGTTGGCCTGGGTGCGGTTTGTGCAGTGCTCCAGCCGCGCCTTTTCCTGTCACGGCTCAACGGCCGTGCGTAAAGACGGCGGGTCAGCTGACAGCTAGCAGGACAGCAGGGAAAAGAAGAGAAGCTTTGCGGGTGAATGAGGTGGGAATACGCTGGACACTCGAGGCGGACTCGGGCACAAAGCAGTGGCGGCTTTCGTGAGATAATTGGGGTAAATATGCAAACACGGTTCTATTTCAATGCTCTGTTGTGTGGTAATTGTCAGGTAAAAAAAGCGAGCGTTTTAATTCGGAAATGCTAATATTAGCAACATTAGCCGCTAACGTCAAACTAGCAGCGGTAGGCTATGTGATAACGGAAAGGAGGCATTTTGTTCCACTCGGCAGAAGTGACCAGTTACGTTGTCTCCTTATGGGTTAGCTGTGATTTATATGTTGCAATATTTCTTGTAAAAAAACATATTGATAACTTTTAATGATTTGAGAGCCTGTCGTGTCCTTTTCCACAGTGCTCTTTTCACCGGAAGCCCGTTAAGAAATCCGCTTGGCAGTCCCGATAGCTAGCCTGCTATGGCTAGCTAAATTAGCCCGTTACCCTCCTCACTCGGCTTTTTTCCGCTGCTTTAATCGGATTGAAGGTCAGATCTTCGTTGACGCTCTCTTATATCAAAAGTGATTGCAATGAATCAAATATCGATGGCACACTGCTTTAACTGCAGATAAATAAATAAAGAAACTCGGTGTCGTTAAGTAATGGCCTGAATGAGCAGACATCTTGACTTCAGCAATATATTGTGGATAAACCCCCATTTGGTTTGATATTTATTTAATTATATATTTTTTCATTCGAAAGTGTTCACATGTAATTATCTTATTAATTTTTAAAACGCCATCTGAAGCCCAGTCTGTTTTTAAATGGAATTTCATGGATGTCCTTCATCCCTTTTTCAGATTTTTTTTTCAGCTAGAACAGATCACCATGACTTGAAATCCAAGTCACAGCAAATAAATTGTGCCACAGCAACATATAATATAAATTGATCATTTTGGGTTATTGGTGATAAATTTGATTTAATTCTCATCGAATCAAAGAGCAAGAGGGGAGCAGCTTTAAAGTCAGCTACCTGCCTCAATCTGACGACTGCTAATCTGCAATTGATCTTCTTTAGGAAAGCTAAGGAATGTCCTGATTTGAAGTACTCTTGGTTAATATGTGAGTCAAGTGTTTCAAAAGCAGCACAGCTGCAGGATATATTCAGCTCTAAATGAGAGGATGTCTAGTTGTGAGAGAGGGGAAGATGGAGAAAGCGGGTTTCAGGGACAAATGCTTCTCTGTGCCGTTGGCCGCTCTCACTTCTCTATCATCCTGTCTTTCCGGAGCCCGTTTCCTTCCCTAATGTCTGTCTTTTCTTAGGAGGAGTTTGGTTTCATCATGGCACGCTGGGAGTGAGAAGCAGCCACAATGATCGGAGGACTGTTCATCTACAACCACAAGGGGGAGGTCCTCATCTCCCGTGTCTACCGAGATGACATAGGGTATGTTTTACTGCAGCATGCTGAAAGGCTTCTACAGGTGCTGGTCATAAAATTAGAATATCATGAAAAAGTAGATTGATTTCAGTAATTCCATTTAAAAAGTGAAACTTGTATATTATATTCATACATTACATACAAACTCATATATTTCAGATGTTTATTTTGTTTAATTTTGATGATTACAAATGACAACAAATGAAAATCTCAAATTCATCATATCAGAAAATTAGAATATTACTGAAGACCAATAAAAACAAAGGATTTATAGAAATGTTGGCCAACTGAGAAGTATGAACATGAAAAGTATGAGCATGTACAGCACTCAGTATTTAGTTGGGCCTCCTTTGGCCTGTATTACTGCAGCAATGCGGCGTGGCATGGAGTCGATCAGTCTGTGGCACTGCTCAGGTGTTATGATAGCCCAGGTTGCTCTAATAGTGGCTTTTAGCTCTTCTGAATTGTTGGGTCTGGTGTATTGCATCTTCTTCTTCACAATACCCCATAGATTTTCTATGGGGTTAAGGTCAGGAGAGTTTGCTGGCCAATTAAGAACAGGGATACCATGGTCCTTCAACCAGGTACTGGTAGCTTTGGCACTGTGTGCAGGTGCCAAGTCCTGTTGGAAAATGAAATCTGCATCTCCAAAAAGTTGGTCAGCTGCAGGAAGCATGAAGTGCTCTAAAACTTCCTGGTATGTGGCTGCGTTGACCCTGGACCTCAGAAAACACAATGGACCAACACCAGCAGATGACATGGCACCCCAAACCATCACTGACTGTGGAAACTTTACACTGGACTTCAAGCAACGTGGATGAAGTGCCTCTCTTCTTTTCCTCCAGACTCTGGGACCTTGATTTCCAAAGGAAATGCAAAATTTACTTTCATCAGAGAACATGACTTTGGACCACTCACCAGCAGTCCAGTCCTGTTTCTCTTTAGACGCTTCTGACGCTGTCTGTGGTTCAAGAGTGGCTTGACACAAGGAATGCGACAGCAGAAACCCATGTCTTTCATACGTCTGTGTGTGGTGGTTCTTGAAGCACTCACTCCAGCTGCAGTCCACTCTTTGTGAATCTCCCCCACATTTTTGAAGGGGTTTTGTTTCACAATCCTCTCCAGGGTGCGGTTATCTCTCTTGCTTGTACACTTTTTTCGACCACATCTTTTCCTTCCCTTCGCCTCTCTATTAATGTGCTTGGACACTGAGCTCTGTGAACAGCCAGCCTCTTTAGCGATGACCTTTTGTGTCTTGCCCTCCTTGTACAAGGTGTCGATGGTCGTCTTTTGGACAACTGTCAAGTCAGCAGTCTTCCCCATGATTGTGTAGCCTATAGAACTAGACTGAAAGACCATTTAAAGGCTTTTGCAGGTGGTTTGAGTTAATTAGCTGATTAGAGTGTGGTACCAGGGGCCATCAATTTTGAACCTTTTCACAATATTCTAATTTTCTGATATGATGAATTTGAGATTTTCATTTGTTGTCATTTGTAATCATCAAAATTAAACAAAATAAACATCTGAAATATATGAGTTTGTATGTAATGTATGAATATAATATACAAGTTTCACTTTTTAAATGGAATTACTGAAATCAATCTACTTTTTCATGATATTCTAATTTTATGACCAGCACCTGTAGATCCCTGGGAAACTTTAGTGAGAATCTAACGTGTGGGTGGAGTGTCTGGGGTTTATCCCAGATCTGAGGATTATGTCCCTGAACCTGTGTAAGTTACTGTTTGTTGTGTTAATGGGAAGGAGCTAAAATACATTTAAGCCAGGAGTACATGTAACATATTATGACTCCATTTAACTCTAACGGTTGCTTTGCAAGTATCTGTCAAATCCTATCCTTTCAGATTTAACAGTTACTGTAAGTGAAGCATGGATAAAAACTGTAGGTTTTAATTATATAACCTTCCCTGTTGTCTGATATAAGGATTTAGTTCACTCACCCTGAAATTTTAAGATTATGTGCTGTTGCATGGGAAAATATATCTATAAAAACATTCATACAGACTAGACCTCTTTAAATTAACTATTCCCCCATAGAAATATATCACAGGGATAGTTATAAATCTATTTACCATCAGCATGCAACTCTTGGTACTTCATCTCCTAGGTCTTGCTCACTATTTTAAACTCGATGCTCTCAGTCATGACATGTTTTTTTTTTTCTCCCCCAAATGTCTTATCTTCTGTCATATTTGATGTCATTTGCCTGTATAGCATATTTTGATCATCCGTATTTTTAGTGTTTCTTCACTTAAATACATATACACTAGGTGTTTATATTATGACTCGTAAAACAGTTTTCATTTAAGGTTGTTTCTATGTGTGCAGTTGAGATGGGCTATAATTTGGGCCTTCCCTGGACTGCTGATTAAATGGGAGAAAAAGCTCATGAAAAGGGAGTACAAATCCACAGGATTCACGTTATACATTTAATGGACAATTTAATTTTCGTTTAACAAAAACATCTAAAGATTTATGAATCCAAGATAATTTTTGCTTTCAGTGGTGTGGGGTGTTATTTTGTCAATCTGAAATAAGCTATCAACTGATTCCTAATTGCAGAAGAAGGATTATTCTTTTTATATGAACAAGACCTTCAATGAAGTATTGAAACCTGATGCAATTTATAAGCATGACAAAAATTAAACAGACATTTGTCTTTCTCTCAAAGTCATATATTTAATTTCCCTTGTTGATTAATTTTACTAAATTTTCTTTTACTGAATGTACAGAACAATTCAATGAATTATATTCTTGAAAAGTTTGCCGTACCTGTACTCTGTGAATGAAATGAGTTATAAAGATTACAAACAAACTGATGTTTTCAAGGCTTTATTTTGTTGTAGTGATTTCTGCTTTAGAGAAAAACCATCAAGATTAGGTCATGTTGGACCATAAACACACCATCTTTATGAGGCTCTAATGGAGTGATTAAAATGTTTATGACCAGTTTGAAGACACCTTGATAGGTGTCAAAGATTCAGAAAGTCCCTTTTTTCAGCTTTGGTTTATAGCAAACATTCATAGATGTTTTAGATGTATCAATCCTGTATGATATTAGGGGTTTAAGTGCAACCAACCCAAAGGCTTTTGTGAGGAAAATTTTAAATGTATCAGTGAGTCATTAAATTCACAATAAGTCTGTTAACAAGTTCTGTATTAAGCTTCTTGGATTCAAATGCTGTTTTAAAATACTGTTTAGTTAAATGGTTAAAAGCCAACAGATGTCCATGTCTGAAATTAAAGGGGTGATCTGGACTTTTGTTTTGTAAGTTAAGACGAGCATATACAGCTTCAGTGTTTGGTTTCTTGTGAATTTTTTGCTTTGTTTTGCATTACCCAATTTATGTTCCTAAATGCCTAAAAAATATGGTCCTAAATGCTCAGCTTTTGTGTGACCCAGATAATAAGGCCCTAGTTGCAGGCAGTGTCATTCAGAAATATTCGGGTAAGTGACTATTTCGGGTATATGGCGCTTATAAATTGGGAGCTGGGCTTCTCAATCATAGCAAGAATCACAGGGGTCGTCGGTGGCTCATTACCCCCACATTGTTTAGCATTCTGTGAATCTTTGTTTCAATGGGTGGGGCGCTGAATGCGGCTCAGGTGTAAAGTGCTCTGAGTGGTCAATTTGACTAGCAAAACTTAGAAATTAAGTTTATTTTTGGGATTTGGACTTTACTAGAAATAATACTGCAGCTGTGTTTTATTCAGTACTGGATACTTTACTGTGTAAAGATCATAGCAATGCTGATAACCTTTTTCCAAATATGGCATCATGAACAATATACCATGTTTCTCACTCTGTCTACATGATGCACAAAAATGTCTTGTACATTTTTGTCTGTCCTCTTCTGTTACCTTTGTTTCTCCTATCTATCCCGTGTTAACCATTGTTGTTTAACCATTTTCCTCCATCTGTTCATCTTGGCCCCTCATGTAGAAATAGGTAAGAGTTCCTGAAGCTTTCAAAGCATGACTCCTCCCCCTCATGGCCACTGATCAATGACCCCTGAACTGCATGAGCCTTTATGCTATGGTTAAAAGGCCAATGGTTCCTGTAAGCATGTCTCACCTCTACATACATTGATTACTGGACAACCTTTTACTGAAATCAAGCTGCAAATCAATTGAAATCAAGGAGTTTGACCACAGCCAGACTGTGGATACTTCACCAGCTGAGCTAGTGCCCTGGCATGTAGTCTGAGCATGGGCTATGAAAGTTACTTTGGTGCTCCTTTCTGCCGTTCCTTTCAAAAAGGAAACATTTGTTATAAATTCTGTAAGGTTACACTTGGTGTGTGATGTGGCTTAATTAGCATTGACTAAAATAATTTTCTGAGTTTTTTTTTTTTTTTTTCATATCTGAAACTTAAACGTAGCATATTTAGTAGTGCAGTATTTGGCTGGAGACATAAGAATTTATATAAATTAAGTGGGACCTTTTTCATTTGATTGTCCTTCGACATGTCTGTCATATACTGTTAGCTGCAGCGCCTTGCCAAAGTTTTCACAAAGTTTCTTGTTGCATTATCTAAACTATTGTATACGGATTTTATGTGGTGGACCATCCTACAGGCCTCAGAGGTTTGGAGAATGTTAGTCAGCAAATTACCAATGGACACAGCAGAAAGGACAGGGCCACAGCTGTGGGGTTAAAATGGGGATGAAATGAAGCGCATTTATTTGACATCTCAGTGAAGCAGCAGTAAATCTACTCAAGGGAAAATTTATTTTTTATTATTGATCAAAAAAGTCATGGTCTAAAGTAAATGCAGAGATGTTCTGCGTAATGCCTGAGAGGGTTTTAGCTGGGGGAGATGAATGGGACTAAATACAAGACAATACTGGAAGATAGTCATTTAGAAAGTGAAGGTCCTTCTTATGGCAGGAGAACAACCCTACAACATGCAGCCAAAGTTTCAATAGATTCAGATCAAAGAAAAATATGATATGATGGCCAAATCAAAGTCCAGACCAAAATCTGATTTAGAGTTTGGGATGTTTAAATACTTTATCTATCTAGCCTGACTGTACTTGAGTGTTTACCAAAAAAGGGTAAAACTCCCTTGCATAATTTTAAAAGAAGCCTGAGGAACAATACCGTAATGAACAACGGTTCTATGGGTGTAGGAATAGACTGTTCACTAAGAAGGAAAAAAAAAGAAAATGTTATACGTAAGATAGTTTGAAAAGCCATAAAAGCTTTTGGTGTTTTTCATTGGTCCACCACCTGAATTCCCACAGGATTACGTTGAACATTGGAATGTGACATAATTAGGAACATGTGTTACTGCTGTTTCTGCAAGGCAGTGTATAAGTGCTGCTCTCATTATACTGGATATTCACAGTAGTGCTTCCTTGAACATTAAGTTTGGCAATGCACATTAGAAATAATCATGCAGGTTTTTATCTTCCCCTACGTAAACATTATCTTTTTATTTGGAGAAATTGACCAAAGAAGTTTTAAGATGTTAATCCTTCACTCTGGCATTCTTGAAATGCCTTGTACAACTCTTTGTGTGTATTCATATTATTTGAAGCAGCGTTTTCCTGGGGTAGCTTTCTTAGTAGCAGCTAAAGTGTACACATTGTATCTAATGGTATATGTAGGAATCCAAAGTTACAGACTACCTTAAAGTATGCAGGGTTTGTTTTTAAATTATTTTGTTAACCTAAAAAAAAAAAAACTTTTCTCTCCTGTCCTTTGCAGGCGTAATGCTGTGGATGCGTTCCGTGTGAACGTGATCCACGCCCGGCAGCAGGTTCGGTCCCCGGTGACCAACATTGCCCGAACCAGCTTCTTCCATGTCAAGCGCTCCAACATCTGGTTGGCAGCCGTCACCAAGCAGAATGTCAACGCCGCCATGGTGTTTGAGTTCCTTTACAAAATGTGTGATGTGATGACGGCATACTTTGGCAAAATCAGTGAGGAGAACATCAAGAACAACTTCGTGCTCATCTATGAGCTGCTGGATGGTAGGACGAGATTATGAAACCTTCTTTTAGTTGGACCTGTGCTTTTATATTTAAAATTGTACAGGAATGTTGTTGTTTGCTTGTTTTTTTGTTTGTTTTTTTTTTGTTGTTGTTGTCAAACCTTGTCTGTGTCACATTCAAAGTTAGTACATCTCAGTCGGGGCTCATTTATTTCACCATAGCTCGTCCCAGATTGGTTTTCTTATCTTCACTGAAGGTTATCTGTTCCTGTTTTGTTTATTCAGAGATCCTGGACTTTGGCTACCCCCAGAATTCAGAGACAGGTGCCCTGAAGACCTTCATCACCCAACAGGGCATCAAGGGACAGGTAAGCAAGACATGTTTACACTTGGATCACATTTTTAAATCCTTTACTTTGATTTGATCTTTAAACAAACTTGGCTGTTTATGACCAATGGAAAATTTACATTGTATGTTTTAGTTTATTCTGAATATGTGGGACAGGTACATTTAATGTATGCTGCCTGATTCTGTGTGTCCTGTTGATTCAGTGAAATCTTTGTGGTAATGGGAACAGGAAAATTCAAATGAAGTAGTTTTATGATCCAGATATAAAGGTTTTAAATAATTGTACATGCACTTTTGTCTCTGTTGTTTATATTGTGTTAATTTTTTTTTTTTTCCTTTCTTTGCTTCTTGGTGTGGATTCTGGATCCTTCAGCATCAGGTAATATGCTTAGATTACCTTTTCTTTCCCATCTTTAATATATTTAACACCTTTCCATGTTGCCAATTATCTGCTTACCTTGTGGGAAAAAACCTATTGTCTTTGTTCCTTTCGTTGGCTGCTATAATGTCTTCCCTCTGACTGTCAGACAAAAGAAGAGCAGTCTCAGATCACCAGCCAGGTGACGGGGCAGATCGGCTGGCGGCGTGAGGGCATCAAGTATCGCCGCAACGAGCTCTTCCTGGATGTACTGGAAAGCGTTAATCTACTCATGTCGCCTCAAGGTCTGTTTATTTTCCTTTCCCTCTTGATGCTGATGACAGATGACCTTAGTGGTTTCACTAACATTAATATTATCAGTACAAATTATTCTTTTTTTTATCATTTTATTTTTGTTCTCTGATAGGTCTGTTATGTACAAAAATGTACTATGTAGTTGCAGCATGACCAGTTATCTAAAGCTAGTTGCCAATTAACTTTTTCAACAATTCCTTCTGAGGTCCTTGAGTTGTACTGTTTTCAAAGATAAAGAAAATGTGTGCCCTTTAACAAAAGGTCACCTTTTGCTGCTGTGTGAGAATGGTTAGTTTTGTATCTCCCTTCCAGGTCAAGTCCTAAGTGCACACGTGTCAGGCCGAGTTGTGATGAAGAGCTACCTGAGTGGAATGCCTGAGTGCAAGTTTGGCATGAACGATAAGATCGTTATCGACAAACAAGGGAAGGGTGGAGCGTCCGATGATGCAGGAAAGAGGTACATGATGGAACAAAGAGGCTCTGATCCCGAAACATGGCTTTGGTTAATTAATACTTTTTAGGATGTTGAACTACTTTTCTCACTTCTGTATTTTCATTGACTGATTCTTTCTTTAGAAAACCTTTTTTTTTTTTTAAGAAAAAAAAAAAAGGAAGTTTTGTGTCAGAATAAAAAGGAAGCTTTTAATTTGTTGTGTTTTAAGCCTGTTTATAACCAGTCATGCTTTACAAGTTGTTTTTTTCCCCCCTTTTCTTTGCTTTCCTTTGCATGGATCTCTCCTGTCTTTCCCCTTTCTTTTTCTATGTGCTGTACCTCAGTGATTTAGGGGGAGGAAGGTACTGTGCTACCAATTCCTCTCCCCCCCACATCATCACACATCCCTGTTCTAGTATATAACCATCTCATACTCTGTTGAAAAGTTAGCTGATAAAATGTTCCTTTTTATGTTTTGTGTAGCCAGCTTCCCATCTTTTTTTTCCCTGTATGCTTTCACCCAAACAATTTCAGAATAGTACCTAAACATAACCTCAACCTGTTTGTGTTGCTACTATCCATGTTCCTGTATGTGTTCATATGTTGTGTGTTCCAACTTATGGATAATAATATGGACAATAAAAGTACAAGTTTGTTTCTTTTAATAACTGTTTTTTTCCCCTCTACATTTCTCCTCAGTGGGAAGCAGTCCATAGCAATTGATGACTGTACCTTCCACCAGTGTGTTCGTCTCAGTAAGTTTGACTCTGAGCGCAGCATCAGCTTCATCCCCCCTGATGGAGAGTATGAGCTCATGAGGTCAGTTAGTTTCACTCTTGAGCTGCAATTTTTTGTGTGAAGATTTTCAAACAATGAATGTACTGCTCTATAACCTTTTCTCTCTCACCTTGCAGATATCGCACCACTAAAGACATCATTCTTCCATTCCGAGTTATTCCTCTGGTCAGAGAGGTGGGTCGCACTAAACTGGAAGTTAAAGTGGTCATCAAGTCTAACTTCAAACCCTCCCTGCTGGCTCAGAAGATTGAGGTGAGCTCCTGGTATCTGTGACTGGCCTGCAATATACAGCGTTAAAGCTGTGATTGTTTTAATCTGACATTATTTATTATAAAAGGTGTGTTGATCAGAATTTTCTGTCCAACTTTTTTACCAAATAAGGATTTTGATCTGTTCATGCCACTTGAGGTAAATTCTGATCTCTTTTCAAGAATTGTTTATTTAGAAAAAAAAATGTTTTTACAGCATAGGACAGATTAGTTTAAAACAGGGTTTTAATGATTCTATAAATTAAGCAACATAAATATGAAGTTACTGTAGTGTGGGATGTATCCCTCTAGATCAGGGGTGCTCAAGTCCATTCCTCAAGAGCTACTATCCTGCAACTTTTTGATGCAACCATTTTTAACACACCTGAATCAAATGAGTGGCTCGTTACATGCCTCTGTTGGGCTAAATGAGGTTAGATTCAGGTGTGCTAGAGAAGAGATGCATCTAATGGCGCCGTTGCTGCTAATGCTACTCACCCTGCTGTCGGGCTTACAACAGAATCTTCTTCTTCTGGAATATCTCCAGGAAGAACAGAGCAATATCGACGACATAGTTCAGCACCTGAATTTGACTTAAACACGAAAATGGACCCGCAGGGCAAACATGTATAAATATTAGTGCACATGCCCAACATTTCGTCGCTTATTTTTGCTTTGGCACCACAGCGCCACTTACAGGCCTGGCATACATTTTGCAGCGTTTTCATGCATTCGTGTGGACGCTCACATTTATTTTACGTCTCCGTGTTTACGGCAAACGTTTTGGAAAATATCAGCGTTTCTTGTTCGTTTTGACTTCGTGTGGACGGGGCCTTAGTCTATGTATAAAAACCAGGTGTTAGATGGCAGCCTCTGGATTACACCGTGTAGTGCTTTTTCTGTTTTGTGATTTGCTTATTATATTGTAAAGGTAAGCAATAGACTTTCACTTTAAACTCTCTGAATCTTTTATCTTTATTCTTTTTAACTAATATTGAGTCTGAACAAACAGAGCAGAGAATGTAAATCAACCAGGTGAATGCATTTAACTCTTTCTCTACGGTGAACACAAAAAATGACTGTTTTCCCAGTAACGACTCTAACATATAAATGATTAAATGAAAATGGAAAACAGCTATGCCCTAAATGCATAGCTTCCTCTTGCTTACATGCTTTACATGATTAAACGTCTAGTTTGATTCCTGCAGAGGCTGTAGTCATAAAGTCTTGTACTTTTTCCACCAATCAATGACTTGTCACTGTTTATAAGAATATCCAAGAGGCTGTATCTATACCTCACCACCATACTAGATGGCCACTTAAGCAACAGTTTAATATTCTCTCTAAATGAAGTGGTCAGAAGATGAGAGGTGTCCTGATGTGACGAAGCCTTTCTTCAGTGGGAGGAAATGTGGTCAAAACAGCTAATTGTAACAATAATAAAATCTGAGTTTATGTCCCCTTCATTGTATTTCATCATCGTCACAAAGTGGTCAGGGTTTAAGTTGTTGTTCGTAAAAATCCTAAATGTCTTTTAGATTTTTATTTTTTTTAAAGGGTCAAATATGGAAAATATTTGGTTAACATGACCTCTGGTAAGCACACTGGAAAATCCAGAGTCTAAGTCCTTGTATGTTTAAACATACCTGACAAATTTGAACTCTCACACACAAACATGGTGTTATCATAATGTTGGAGTCGCATCTAGAAAAGAATCAATTTTAAGTTTATGCCAATTGTCCCTTCACTAGTTAATTTCTCAGTTCAGCTCTTTAAGTCTCTTCTAATATGTAAATGAAACTTAAAACCCGATTTACTGTGATGTGTTGCAGTTTTGCTTGGCCTCTCCACACTTTAACATCGTTTATTTTTCAGGTGCGAATCCCAACACCCCTCAACACCAGCGGTGTGCAGGTGATTTGCATGAAGGGAAAAGCCAAATATAAGGCCAGTGAGAACGCCATTGTTTGGAAGTGAGTCACAACACCTCATTAACAAACTCACCTCTTGTATCAATTTTTGCACTCTCCCAACTATTTTATTTTTTAGGTACAAATGTCACATCTTGTTTTTCAACAATTCACTTCATGTTTTGTGTTTGCAGGATTAAACGTATGGCTGGAATGAAGGAATCTCAGATCAGTGCTGAGATTGAGCTGCTGCCCACCAACGATAAGAAGAAATGGGCCAGGCCTCCCATCTCTATGAACTTTGAGGTAATAATCCTTTGGTTTCTGTCCCCCTCTTGGTCTCCTCAGACTTGATTTATCTCCCATTTGTCTCTCTGTCTTTTCAGTTTATTTTCTATTTTTCTCGACTAAAAATAAACCAATGTAGAAAAACATCAAAAGGCGTATTGTAGCCAATCAGACAGATGAAATGGATAAAATGTTTCCAGTATCTTCATCAAATCCCCAGCCGTTTCATTTCCTCCCACCAAAGCAGCCTGTGTGGTCCACAAGTCTCATCTTGTTCAAACTTCTTTCTTCTTTTTGCAGGTTCCTTTTGCTCCATCTGGCCTGAAGGTGCGCTACTTGAAGGTGTTTGAGTCGAAGCTCAACTACAGTGACCATGACGTTATTAAATGGGTGCGGTACATCGGCCGCTCTGGCATCTATGAAACCCGCTGCTGAATTTTTACCCGACCAGGCAGCAATCTGACCACTTTCCCTCCCATCTATCCTGTTAAGAATGTTTTGTTTTTTTCTTTCCACCTCCCCCTACTTTGTCTTTGTTCTTCCCTCAACCCGTATCACTTCTACCCCTCTCCCCGATTATCCCTTCTTAACTAGGTGTTGGAGATGAATTGACATTGTTTAAATAAAAAAAAGTAAATATGGTGTAATGCACAGATATATGCAAAATGTGAACCATTGTACCGTATATATCTAGTAGTGATGAATACAGTTGTAAACCATCTGGTGTCTGTAAGGAAAAGACAGGTGAAGCTGGGAACTCAGGGGGAGAGACGGAAAGGTTTGAGTGAGTGCTCGGTGTTACTGTTCTATCTACGCCACTGTTAAGCTCCTTAATGTCAGACCTCCCTGATATGGTTCTTTATTGCTGTCTTGAAGATGAGTCCAGATAGTTTCTATTCACACCCTGTATCTAGTACAGTTTACCCGCTGAATAAATTGACTGATTTTTGTTCCTGGATGTTAGCCATGTGAACCCTGTGTATTTCTCACCTAAAAGGGGGGGAGGGGATTCATTCCCACCTTGTTTTTTGATATTAGATAAAGAAATTACATTGTTCAAGTTGGTTTTTATATTGTTGCATGTGTTATTTTCATGGATCCCCCTTTCCCGCTTTCAGTTTGGTCAGGTCATTTGAGGTTAGACCATCATCCTCTCTGGCTTTTGTGACTTGTTTTCCCCCCCCAAATACTTTATAAGCACTAAGATGATCATTGTCACACTATGTTCCAGTCAAAAGATCGGTCTGCAGTGAGGTGAGGTCTCCCCCTGGTGTTTGCTTCGACCATCTGCTTCTTCTTGTTTGTAGCCCTGGTGACCATTCTGTCCAATAAAATCTATGTAACCAAACCTGCCTGGTTTTGTTTTTTCATATTCCTTGTTTCCTTATTCTGTTAGAGCAAAATGTTTGATCTATGTTTTATAGAAAGACATTTAATCAACCCTTGGTTGTTGAGAGGGAAAAATGTCTTAAACTTGTTAAATCATACTAAAAGTTCACATTTTCAGTTTAGAAGTGAAGCTTATCTAGGTGTTTTTTTTTTTTTTTTTTTTTATTGCATCTTTATTTTTAATTTTTACCTGTGTCAAAGAACTGCAGGTATTAAAGAAACTCAGTTCTGTCTTTAATGACCCTCAGCTCTTCCTCACTGTTGTCTTAAACTCTACAGCTGGATTCTGTAGAAGTCAGTTTGACATGCTGGTTTGATGATTGGCCTTTTCTTGGCTGTATAGATGGTTTAATTTGCCCTTATTAAAACAGATAATGGACTTCCAGGAATTGGACTCTGCATCTCCATAAAGCTTGTCAGCACAAGGAAGTATTACGTGACCTAAAGCTTCCTGTTTGATGGCTGCATCACTATAGACTTTGTCTATAGACAGACTGTGTCTGAGCTGTGGACTTCCGGGAAAAAAAAAAAAAGAACAGATTGCATTAACTGTGGAGACTTAAGTTTTTTTCAGACTAGAACTTAATTTTGGTACTTTTTTTTTTTTTCTTTTTTAATGTACCAGGTCTGTTAACTCCCAAGTTCTGACTCGAGCTTTAGTCCACAATTCCTAATTGGGTTTTGCTTTAAAATCAAGAAAGCAGTTATCCCATTGTTGAACCTATTTTCTTTTTTCCTTTCACTGAACTTTCCATTAGGGGTGTCCAATAAAACGTTTTCTGATAAGATACAGATATTGCCCCAATACAGTATTGGCACAAAGCATACCTGCTTTTATTACTCTGATATTGCAGAATGTTAGAAAAGGCTTGATATCGTAAAGACTGTGACAAACTATGGAGTCAAAGCGATCTCAATTTTCACAAATACACGTGATTCATACATGCATGTGCAAGCATACAACATGCACAGCACATGACTCGCCAAAGTATTTCTGGTCTATAAACATAAATTACAAAGTGCCAGTGGTCTTTAAACTTCACTGCATTTGTGTGTGGATTTTTGAGACTCTTCTTGCATAACACAAATGCATTTTTTCTATAGAGGGGATGGTTTGCAACCAATCACAGATATCCCTGGTATAAGACAATCACAAGAAAGTAATCCACGTGGGATGACTATTTGCTCTGCTGCGGTCCAGTGTTCTGTCAGCTCAACATACCTCATCAGGCCAGCATCCCCTTAGTAATACGCATGCACGCGTATGATCGTTATTAGCGGTTATCAGTCCTATAGAATGGCTTCAGATTCTGCCAATAGGCTCAGTAGGTTGTTATCACAGAGTGAATCCTAACCCTAAAGTCATTCCTTTTCCCCCACGGAATTTATGAATCTATTTATGTGTAATCTGAAAATAATTTCAGTAGTTCTTCCTGTGCTGTAAAAATAAATATAAAATAAAAAAATTATCCAGATGTCGCTCATATTAAACAATCTAAAAACAAATAAATCTTATATCCTGTCAACTGGGTTTTAAAATCCTCTCCCTATAGATATTTCATTCTCTGTGAAAAACTGCCGATCATTCTGTAATAAGATCCTCTTCTAACGGACATGCAATGCAGTGGCGGCTGGTGAAAAATATTTTTGGTGGGGCTGATATAGCCTAGTGTATGTCTCCAACTAATCCGGAATAAGAATTTGATTAAACAATTGGACAATACATACAATTTAACAGTAATGATTTAATTTACTATATAATAACAGTAACAGTGATGATTTTGGTCACTGTGAAGGGGTTCTTTGGCCTCCAAGAATCCAGGCTCAGTCGGGTTACCGGTGTTGGTGATTTATTGAGCTCAAAAACTCAAAACAGGGTGCAAAAGAAACTAAACATACAAGATACTCTGGGCCTCAGCCTCCCTCCAGTTACCAGCAATGTAACAAAGAAACAGACAACAAAAATTGCCGCTTTTCTTCCCACAGCCCTCATTAAATAGTTTAAGCCCCTCACCTCAGGCTCTCTTATTTCTGATTTCTTCTCATTAATCAGTTTTGTCCATATATTACCTCCACAAACAATTGATGTACAAAAACAAATAATTTTTACAACTTAATTCTTTTACACAGATTCATTGACTTATTCAATTACACCAAACTGGATTTGAACCCAGCAAAGATGCAGCCAGACTGAAGATGACAAGTCCCCATAGCATAAACACGTACACACACACACCCACCACACATACACACACACACACACACACACCCCACACACCCACACACACACACGACTAACCCCACTGAAATATTAAGTGTGCACCCTCAATATGCCAGCAGGTAACCAGGAACAGCTTGTGTGTTTTAAGTTCATGGAGCTACTGGTCTCAGCGCGAGTGTATTGGTCCTCACAAACACAGTATAACAGGAATGTGTGTGTGGCGCGCAAAGTTAGAGAGGTTGTTTTAAGCGACGAGGTGGATTCGTCAGAGTCACAATAACCATGACATGAAATGTTCATATCCTACAACAGGGATGTTCTTCTGGCAAACGGGTAGATAAATAAGGATCTCACCGAATTTGCTGGAAGCTGCATCTCGCTCGTTACATTCGCCATCTTCCCTTTAATTGTCTGCACCTGCGCTTGGGTTCAGAAGCCTGTAAAAGTGCAGTATTTTCAGTGCCCCAAGACCATAAAGTTCTGAGACGCTGATTGGCCATTAAATTCACCTAGCAAAAGTACATGATTGACAGATTCTCTGCAAATGTGGGTCAGTCTGATCAGCGCCCCCAGAACAGAGACGGTAGGAGTCTGTCTGTGGAAATCCACAAATTAATGACAGTAGGTAGGGAAATGTAGTTTATATAATTTGTTTTGCTTATAGGTACACAGTCTAGAGAGTAAAACTGACATTTATGATTTAATTTCTAAAAATATATTTTACGTTTCTCTCTTCTTATCAGGGAGGGCGGTGCCCCAGCGCCCCCTATGGGCCGGCCGCCACTGATGCAATGTTTGTTTTTAAACATAATGTGTGTGAACCTAGTGAATTATTTTTTTTTGTTTTATGCACAAACTCATGAAATTAAACAACATGCTTGGATGTAAGGAGAGCAAAGACAGAGGAAACTATGCAATGCATATTACTAAGGGTTTGCTGGTCTGATGCTGTATGCTGCGCTGACAAAACACCTGACCGCAGCAAAGTAAATAGTCAACCCACTTGGATTACTTTCTTGTTATTGGCTTACACAAGGGAGCCCTGTGATTGGTTGCAAACCATTCCATGTATTAAAAAAAATGCATTTGTGTATCGAGTTATGTCAGGAGAGTCGTGTGGAGCTTGTCCTGTACGTGTATGAATCGAGTATGTGTATTTGTGACAATTGAGATTGATTTAGCTCCATACAAACGGCTCATTTCTAGAGCGTTTTATTTATTTTTTCTTTCCTCGGCAGAAGCGTTTCCAGAAATTTTTTTATAAGGGTGGCCATGGCCACCCCTGGCCCCCCATCTAGCTCCGCCTCTGTTCCTCGGCTCCTCCCGTCCTGCCTCACAGTGACGCTCTACTCACCGGATTGATCCATCGTTCATAGAAGTTTCCTCATATTTAAAAGGAGCTGGAGCTTTGCTGGAGACTACAATGTGGAGGAAAAACCCAATAACTATTAAGGTTCCATCAGCGTTGAGAGTCTGAGCTATTGAGCATAAAGTAAGGTAACGTGTGTAATCTCTCTCTGGTGTTAACTAATCATGCACCAAGCTTCAATCGCGGGATGGATTTAAAAGTGGCTGACTTGGTGCCAGCCGGTCATCTTGGGGCGGGTGGCGCTCTGCTTGTCAGAGATTCTCACAAGATCTATAAGTTTACTCAGTCTGATAGTTTTATTTTTATTTGTGAACAAAGAATGACATTTTGATTTTTGTTGCTTTGTTTAAGAGGGGTGTAAAGGTCATGGAATCTGGATTCTGTGTTTATTTTCTTCTTTTTTGTTGTAAACTTAAAGTGACTGTTCGTGTCAGATGTTTTATTCTTTTCCCCCTCAGCTTTTTGCTATTGGACAGTCAACATATGGTAGACTTTTCACTCAGGTTTGTGGAAGAAAAAAAACATTGAACATTTAATTTCCCTATGGACATTTAAAATGCAAAACTGATTAAAAAAAAACCTATGTGAATATATATATATATATATATATATATATATATATATATATATATATATATATATATATATATATATATATATATAAATAGTCACAACACTAAAAGGAGGGACTAAAGGGTATGAAAACCGACAAGTGTAAAATTAACCAAAGAGTAACAGAAACTCAGATAGAAGTAAATAGTGTTTCTATTAGCATGAAAATATTGGAGAATTTAGATGCTGACCAACAAAATCAGATATTCATTTTTGGGCTAATATTGGACCAATATTATCAGATGTTCAACCCTACTTTACATTGATGATACTCTTAAAAGAGCACTCCGAAGTATATTTAGTAGTGACCTTTAGTGGCTTGGCCCTCTTGTGTGCCGTTAATAACTGGTGCATTCTATTTACTATCTTTGTGTTAAAATTCTGTTTCCTGGCGTCTATTTTTTGTTTTTATTCAGAACAATCTCAAATTTGGTTTATTTTCTAAAGCCATAATCATGAAATTGAAACATATCTTGGTAAAGTCTTGGTAAAGTGCTGATGAAGGTTCTCAGTCATCCAGGTCATAGTCATTCCCCCCCCTTAATGGCAATCCCCCCTTTAACGACCGACCCCTAGAATCATAGACAGGTTCAGATATTACAGGCTAACGATGGAGCTAACGACCCATTCATCGGTTACCATTGCATGTTTCCAAGCGATACAAGGCGTTGTCTATATAAGACTCAAACTCACTGCGGATCCAGACATTTGAATTGAGAAAGCTTCCTGGAGAGGTGGCGAAACGTCTTCAAATCTT